CGGGGCGGCAGGTAGGCCACCCCTGGGGAGGGTCAGAGGCTGTCACTGGGTACCTGGGACCTGAGGACAGCAATTCACTGCTAGGAGACCCCTTCCTCCTGGAGCCGCTAGGATCCACCACAGCAGGGGACCTGGCCAGGCAGCAGAGCTGGGGAGCCTTAGACAGGGAAGGAGAGGGCCTGGGCTGGAAGGGATTGGCCTGGGTGGGGACGGAGAGGGCCTTGATGGGGCCTGGGTGGGCCTGGACAGGAGTGGAAGGACATGGGTGTGGAGGAAGAGGCCCGGGCTGCACTGAGGGACGATCCCAGAGCTCTGCCTGGTCGGGCCTCCCCCTGTCTGTGTGAGGCCCGGGGTTTCCTCCTGGGAGCCTTTGTCTCCTCTGCAGCCTCGGGGGTGGGGTGGGGGGTGGCAGGACAGGCCAGCCTGCCTCTCCTTTCTCAGGGTGTGCCCAGAGAAGTCAAAGCTCGCCCTCCAGGGAAGAGGCTGTGGCCAGGGCCCTCTCCTTACCCAGCCAGGGCCTCGCACACAGGGCCCAGAGGGGCTCCCCCAGGGGGCTGGGTCCAGGTGCCACCCACTTTGGCTCCCCTTTTGGCCAGTTCTTGGCCTTCTTTTCTCCCTGCCTCTACCTCAGGCACCTGCCCCCTGAGCTGAGTGTGGGTTCCCACCTCTGTCCAGAGTGCCACCAGATTGCAGGCCCATGTCACCTCTTGGCCCACGGGGACCCGTGCTGGGCCAACGCGCCCCCACCAGCCCAGCACCTTTCCCTAAACCAGGCCTGGCTTCTCCTTTTTCCGCAAAAGAGTGTTTTGTCCCCAATTCCAGAACTCTTTGTGCCCATGACGACCGCCCCCCGAAACACACAAGTGCCACATTCCTGGAGGCAGCGTCTGTACCATGCAGCCGCTCCCGGCCTCTGGTTTGCAGGGCAACGTGGACTCCTTGTGTCCCTTAGTGCAACCATGCCGCAGTCAGGTGCCAGTGACGTGGTGTCAGCCCAGGGACCCGGTGAGTGCGTAGCTCGGGTCCTTCCGGGTGGTAGCATAGCAGCTCGAGGAGGACTGATGGAGCCCGCAGGCCCCAGTGGTCTCTGGCCGGGCACCGACGTGGTCTTCGCTGGCCGGTGGTGCTGGGGTGCTGGTCGTCAAGGCTAACGGGGCTCTGTGGCCAACACTGACGTCTAACCAGGTTCAGACTGTCCCTCCTCACATTATCACCTTGTGACCCTGGGACAAACCACTTTGTTGTGATGATGTTTCTTAGAACTTTTCCTATGCCAGAGGGTGCGAGCAGGTGAGAGAGAGCGCGCGCGAGAGAGAGCGCACGCACGCAAGTTCCGCAGTAGGCCTGGGCAGGTGTTTGTTTTCCCTCTGATCCTCCGTCTTGTTGGGGTCCTGGTCCTCCGCGTGCGCACTGGGTGTTAGCCTCTGGGCCAGGACTCCAACCCCACCAGACCCATGGGCCCAGCTTCCTGTGCACACCCTTCCCCAGTGTTAAGGGGCGGCCTCTCTGCCTTCAACTTCTGTAACAGAGACCAGTGTTTGGCAAGCCTTTCGGGCCAGGGCCAGCTGCTAACCTTTCATGTTACCTCCTTCCCTGTCACTCTGGGGGACCTGCTCAGGCTCCAGAGCCCTGGTCCTGGCTGGCCCCCGGGTGTTCATTGCCAGGGTTTCACAGGCCCCACACCTTCTGTGCAGAAGGCTCTAAGGCATGGAGGGCAGTTCTGACCCAGACTCTGTCGTGAGGGCTGCAGGACCGCGTCCCCTGATCAGGCCCATGGGGACACAGAGGACACTGACTAGCAGGACCTGCCCGGGCACGTCAGAGGGGGGTGCTGCCCACCAGGAGGTGGGGGTGCTTCATGCTAGCTGGACAGCACCACACAAGGTCCGGCCTGCCCTGGTGCTGTGGCCTGGCTCGGGGACAGCCAGCTGGTGGTCAGGAGAACAGGAAGAGTGGAGGGGGCTGCTGAAACCGGCCTGTCCAGGGGGGGGGTGG